TCCCGCACGCAGAGACCTCGGCCCTGCTCTCCGCAGGGAGCAGCTCCCCCGGCACTGCCCGGAGCAGGGGCTCCAACGTGCACCCAGTGGCCGCACAGATTGAGGCTGCATTGAGCAACTGGTGAAAACCACATCCCAAAATGCCCTCTGAATTCTGAAATCAGGAGCTTTCTCTGCAGACGCCCACGGTGTTATTTACAACAACAAAAAGCGTCTGCCAGTGCGAGCCAGGAACACTCCCCACTAGTATCCGCGGTCAAAAAGCCGGAGCAGCAGAGCCAGGAATTTCTCCCCTATTGCCTTGACACTTAGAAACACTGCGGTGGCAAATCAGACCTTCTCCAAACCATCAAGTCATCTACATACTTAGTTGCCACCATCATTTGTGACGTCTACGTTGGCCATTCCCATAGCAGAGTGAGAGCTTTCAACCCTCCTGTTATCACCGATGTCTCCCCTCTCTTCAGCTCTCCCTTTGCAAACGCACGGCAGCGCCAGTGTAAAGTCTCTTGTGGTTGGAATCCCAGCTGCGCAGCTGCAGAGCTCAGCGAAGGTGCACAAGCTCTTTGGTTTACTCGCTGTGGACGCTGTGGCATTGCCCAAGCCTTCGGCGTGGTTATTTTCCACGCTTTTTTTGCTGGTGAATGTGATTAGAAGCGACTATGAGCACTGCATCTCTGCCGCCCGCCCCAGCTCACTTGTGCAGGCAAGCGGAGGTGTTATGCAACGCGCTGGAGGTAGAAGGGAAGTGGTTTGCAGGGCTGCAAAGAAGAGGAAGGTTTTCCGATGAGACCCTCCTTTTGCAGAAGTTGTCGCTAACGTTGCATAAGCGCGAGGTGGTACCAGCGGGGCTCGGCGACCCGGGCACGGCGCCGCGAGGAGCCCGGACGGGCACCTCGCTGCTGTCCTGCCAGCAGCCCTGCACAGACACCAGCACGAAGCAACGGGAGCGCAGGGATAAGGCGGTGGCGGCGGACACAAAATGTCACACGGGCATAGACGAGCAGCCACCATTGCCAAGTTCACAGGGAAAAGTCCCCCCGAGGCTCAGTGCAGGTTTAAGGCTGTTTGCTAGGAGCTGAGGCCTCCCAGGACAAGGGGTTTTCCTGGAGCAGGTTGCTGGTGTCCGGTGTCCAGCATCTCACGTGGCTCCCACGGGAGCCCTCGGGGCTGGTTTCCCCCAGGATCTCCCCCCAGCGCATCCTCCCAGGGCTCACTGCTCTGGGACCAGCTTTGAGCTTCCCCTGCTTCTGGAAGGCAGGATTTAGGATTCCTGGGAAAGAAGCAGACCCAGGCACTACCTGTGAACCGCTTCAGTCAAATCCCCAACCTTAAGGAGCACACGGAGAAGGTGCAATGTGAGAGGGAGCCAGAGCTGAACCCACTGCAGCCACGGGCCCGTTTTCTGTGCTGACACTCAGCTAACTAAGTCAGGGACGCCAAAACGCTTCTATTCAGCTTTCTGGGGCAGGGACCATCTGCTCACAGGGCATGTTGTCCCAGCAGACAACCAGCGCTCCTACCGGCAGGCGGACAAGTAATTAGACAATTAGCAACCAGGCATTTATACTGCCCCCAAAGCTCCCTGCGTTTTTCAGGCCCAACAGCCAAGATCCCTGGCAGCTTCCCAAGGTGCAAGGAGAAGAGAAGGCAGCTGGGACCGGCTTGCTCGGAGCGACCTCCTCCTGCAGTGCTATCTCGCCGTCTCTCCAAGGTGAATCACTTCCTTTCCTCTCGCCACTGTGCAATTTCCTACGCAGAGTTTGAATTTCCCAAGTCACTCGGTGTGAATAGTCTTGGCTGCCAAAAATCCTCTCCTCCTGGCAGAGTGATGCAGAAATTTCCTAGTAGTGACTAAGGACTCACAGCCCTCCTGGCCTCACTGGCCAGGGAAACACAGCAGAGCGCAAACCCGGCGTGTTAAGAAGCTGCAGGTAGGAGCGTAGGGGACAACCCCAGAGGTCTGTGGTGACAGAAAGGCCAGAAAATCGCTGGAGAAGCCCAAGTGTCCCAGGGCACCGCGGCATGCCGGGCTGTGGCATCGTTCAGCGCCGCAGGGCATCCCCGAGCCCAGCGAGGCCACCAGCGTGGCACGGCCTCCCGCAGCCGGGCAATGTCCCCTGCGCCCCCGGCCTGTCCCCGGCAGCCTCTTTCCCCCCGCGTCCCCGCGCTGGGCGCTCGGCGCCGCGCGGAGCGGAGCGGAGGCTCCGCTGGGGAAGGTGCCTCTAGAGGGAGCTGAGCCCGGCGGCTCCGCGCTCCCCTCTATGGTCCGGGGTTGGGTTTCTGGGCGGTTTT